TTTTTTTTTTTTTTTTTTTTTGATACAAGCCGAATACTATTCAGAGACGATTTCAATTATCAAATCCTAATTGAAATATAGTTTTCAGACGAGTAGACATGTTAGCATACGAAATCAATTTACCTGAAAGCTATGATTTATAAACAGATGAAAAACCATTCAAATAGCGATATGATGCAAGAGGTTATTTCATTTCTTTTGATTACATCATAGTCGCTATTTAATATTAAATAAACTCTTTACTTGTCCAAATGCAACTTTATATCAATACAGTTTTTAATAAATATGTTTAAGACATTCTGTAATATTCCCAGATAATCTGGCATAAAAGATAATAAGAGATGCACATATTCATATATTTTGTTAATTATCAACCTCTTTGTGCATATTATATATGCATGTGCATAAATAGCACATGTGTTCACATCATTGCGTAAACATTTTGAATTTTTGTTTTGGTCCACCTGGAATTTATGTATTAAGTAAATCGGAATAAGGAATACAGAGAAAGAGATATATCAATCAAGTAGTTACAGACTTGCGTAACATATTTCTATGTCTCGTTTATTCAATGGTAAATCAATTGTAAATATAAACAGATATTAAGGGATTTAAAACCAATGCAAAACTGTGTCTGTGCATGTCAACTTTTTTATTATTACATAGTGCTAAGCAATATTTACTAATGAATGATATAATATTCAGCTAGTTCAGGGGATCAATTACTTATTACATATATGCCCCAAGACCCCTTTTTTCCAGCAATATTCACTAATGATGGATATTATTTTCGTTTAGCTGAGGTGATCGATGACTTATACCACCTATGACCTAAACACCCTTGCATTGCTATAGGGATGGCTGCGTGTGTTTACATATGTTAGATACAGGTGATTGATTCTCTATAGTGCGTTACCCTGGAATGTCGACACATATCTATTGATTCTCTCTGTAAAAAAACTTCATTGTGAATGATATTAGCATACATACAGAACGAAAATTAAACAGATTCATGTCGGTGAAAATAACACTGAAATTATATTTCTTCTTAATAGTTTAACATTATCTGTGAATCTTCTTGGCTTTCTACAGCAATCGTAAAACATTTTATCGGGTTTTTAAAATAGACCTACATCTGGTATAAATCTGGTCTCTCTTAATTGGTTTGTGTAAAAAAACTGGTATACACAGATAATGTAAAGATACTGATATCACTATTAGGTTACAGTATGTTGGATTTCTGATTTACACAGAAAACAGAAAACAATCAACAAATCGTTATTATGAATGGAAAATACATTGCAAAAAAAACACAACAGAAAGACAAACAATTAAACGAACGCACTTTTATTTGGAAAGAAAAACAAACGAAGAAACCTTACCAAAATTTAACGATTAAGTTAAGTTTTAACATAAAACACACAAATTACTAAGATACTATTTAAATATTGTTTAAAAATATGATTTCTTTTTCAATAACATTGTTTTCAAGATTATTTCTTGTCAATGTTTGTATGCTTCCTATTTATTCGTTCCACTGATTTTCGTGGTCTTTTCTGAGAGAAAATACCACAAGAATTTTGCAATGTGGATGACTTTCGCAGATATTTTATTCACATTTTAATTCAGATCTTGATTCGAACTGAGAGAGGGTTGATGCACAAACGTGATATAATAAATTGTGGTAGATCGTTATACATTTCTGTAAGAGCTTGTTAGAAGATAATGTAATAAACATTTGTCATTGATATTGTAATGTTATATTATGCATTTCAATCATGTGTTTTAATAATGAAACAGTCTTGACCAACCCATGCGTGTGGGCAAGCTGGTTTCTGTTCATATATACCTATATTAATTCTGTATTGACAAAAATAATCATCAACCAAGGCGCATTGCTACATATTTTAACCACTCTATTAAAAGCAACCGGAGTGTTTAATTCAAATATCAAACTAAACAAGGGAAATGCAACTTGGAAGCAAATAATGCTGTAGTTCAGTAGTATATACTGAATATACCTATAAATAAAACAAATATATCTAAGAATACATACGATATCAGAAATACTAACTGATATTTACAAAATAAAGAATATTTTTAAGTATTTTTCATTACACAAGAAAGTATAAGAACACATTTAAACTTACTGCGTGTTGTTCTACTAAAACTGAATAACAAACAACCATCTCAAGATCATTTGAAATTTGCCAGCTGGGTTTTCCGATCGACTCCTATATCACGTTGCTGTCATAGAAATGCCAGAAACTTCACAACTAAAAGGCCTGCGTTTTCTCGGGGAGTCAAAATGACGGACGTTTTCGTTCGCTGTGAGACCAAATCCCATGTTGCATAACTAGTGAATAATCTCAGAGAAATATTACGACACCAAGTGTGATTCAAGATTGTTTTTTCCAAATTATACTGTTTGAACGAAAATACCTATTCTGTCCATAAAAAAAGCTATTTGTTAAAGGATGTTTTTTCAGAATTATATTCAGTATTCTTCTTATTTAAATTAACGTTTATATCAAAATCACATGTTGAACACTCGTTTATGCAGCGGGTTGGTTTCCAATACATTATAGCACAAGTGCGAAACAAAAATCTTTTCTTCATTCTTTATCAACATTACTATATACATTTTCCTTTTCAAATATTTGCGGAAAGAATGTTGAATTCTCTAATTACGTTGTAAAACGAGTACATTACTGACAAAATATCAGGATATCTTAGTAAGTCGATGTTTCACCTATTGATTTTGCGGTATCACCAGGAATTTGTTTATGTTCAAAGGTACGATGCACGTTTGCCTTAGCAGATTATCCACGACAGGTGCAATACTATGTTATACTGTTGATTTAAATTCGCATTAATGACATATGTTTGTTATTTAAATCAGCCTCATTAATGCAAATCAAAACAATTTTGTATAGATTACGGGACATCTGTTGACAGATTCTTTGCGATAATTGATTCAATGCATTTCAAAGTGTATATCTGTTATTTTAGGTATGATATGCATCAGATCTGATTTGCATTTGGACAGCAATACAATGTATAATTATTCGGAAGTATGTTCTGCTTTGTTTCCAAATAATGATAGGAAATGTAAATTACTTTATCCAGTGAATAAATCTGATAATCGAAATATTTTAGAATATACGATGTACAATGTACAAGCATTGTTAATGATGAAATTTTGATGATACATTTATGTTAATCGGAGAAATTAAAATCCCTTTAATTACGTCATTATTGTAATAATACTCATCGCAGTAAATCAACATCAAAAATTATTGACCATATTTCATGGCAGTGTATTGAAACCAGTTAAGATTTTTGTCTAATACGAGGCTTTCATCTGTGAAAAATATCATTATTTCCGTAGTTTTGTTTTACTCATAAACTAAGCAGCGTAGAAATACAATTTGCAGCTTTAAACAAACCAGCAATGCGTTTTTTGGAAGGTCAAATTATTATTATTTAGTGCTACTTTCATGAGCTTTAGTTATTTGCACTGAATCTCAACTTAGAGAATGAAACATCACTTCTGCATTATAAATGGAGCCACATTGAGTGTGTTTAAAGACAAACATGATAAGATTCTCAGGACAAATGAAAACATAAATAAGAGTTGATTACAAACAAATGTTTGTCAGATATAACGGATCTGAACAATATGATGGTTACATGGATTTGCATGACAAGAAGGTGTAAATTCCGAATAAATGTTTGATAAGATTAAGTCTTAGATTTGCATGAAAGAAAAATACAATGTAACTTATAATGACTTTAACATCATGCATATAGTAATTGCCATTTTTGTGCATTTTAGACGAGATATTAATTGCGTTTGACAGCTGTGTCTATTTTCGAAAATATTTGTTTTTGGATTTGTTTAATTATTTTTTTACCTTTATATATATATGTGTAATTTAAGGACTAGTAATCGTAATTATTGTTCTATAATGAATTAGACGCCCCTTGTATAAAGGAAGACGTAATATGTACAATCCTTGAGACGATATGTTCATGTATGTCGTATCACAATGAACAGCATACGATTGTTTGGTTATTCTTGTCGTGATGCTAAAAATCTTTTGAATGTTTATGGTTGATTAACAAATGTTAAGAAACAGTGGTATTTATTATAATAATATGTATCAAAGAATAGATTACGTTAACTACCCATAACAATAATAAGATACATTTCTGTGCTTGGTTACATTCAGAGCATCATCGTGTGTTCAAATTGTATGCTTGATATAGCTTGTTATGAGACATAAATGACGAGGATAGATGGTTCTAAATTACGTAATCGTTTGATGTGATATGCAGATATGCATTTCCATACAAAAAAAAACATATTCATGTTGCATAACATATCAGTAAATATGATTTATTTGGAGAGCATGCTTTCTTAACCAACATAAATGTGTGTTTATTTATTTCAATATTTGGACTCATTAATATCAAATTTCATAATGTCAATCAAACGTTTGATAAACACATTGTTTTCAATGCTTACACGTACATTAAACAATAAGAAAATATTCCTTAATGATTAATTGGCATCCATATTTGAAAGTATTTATTTTTTATTTTTGAATATGTGCGATACAGTTTGACATACTTTGTGTAAAACGAAAACTGTCTCTTTTTGTTCATGTTTCATGTTTCTTCTTGCACGTACACTATTGAATTGCATATGCATGTCCAGAGAGCATGAATATATTGCTTTATTGCACATGTATTGGTCTCATTAATGCTACCTCTGTAAAGAAATGTGATTAATTGGACTAATATTTTCATGAATAATTTTCATTTCTGCACAGATTTCCAACCGGTACTTAACTTGGGTGGGGATATGAAAGTATCAAGCACAAAGATTTATAGAACGACGCACGGATTTGTAACTCCATAATATACAGTAGAGTACCTTCTAAGAGAGAATGTATCTATAATTTAGGACGTACCTTAGACAATCCAATGAAGAGCCAGACAGTAAATGTATCCCCAACAAGGCATAATTATTAATCACTGTACCTTCAGTTCCTGTAGATAGAATGAAAACGGAGACATATAATGTAACAGACTTGCATTCGTGTGATACAAGGATCGCACAAACACATGCAATGACCATAGCGTGAATCCTTTCATTATTGATCAAGCATTGAGCAATCATTAGGTTTATCTGATAAACGAAATCCATCCCAACGTTTAATTTCTTGAAGTTATATATCGATTCTGCAAGATAAAAATCAGCTAAAATGAGACGTCAAATACATATATATAGGAAAGCCTGGTAGGTTTTGTTTTCGAAAAAAAACATCCAAAATTATTACAAGGACATTTTGTATATATTTTGGCTAAAATTTGTTACCAATGCGATTGGCAATTCAATTCACAGGATACTTTAACATAAACAAAAACATATATATCAATTTAATTTTGGATGATTCAGAACAGAAAAAAATTAAGCAATTGTTTTGTATGAGTTAAGTGATAATTCGATGATGAGTCTGTAACTTTATATCAGTCTCTAACATTGCGGTATAATAGTTGTTTCATTCACCTACAGTGTTCAACATTTCAATAAATATACGTGTTTGGGTTCTACTGTGGCACAGCAATAAATCACTACTACTGCCAATGTTATATTAAGAATGTATTCATGTGCAATTCATGTGCATTTTAAAGCACTTTAAAAGACGTCGTCAAGTTTTGAACTCGAAGTTTATATTACATGTTAGACCGAAATACTGCACAGTGTTCAACATTTCAATGAGTATACATGTTTAGGTTCTGCTGTGACACAGCAATAAATCACTACTACTGCCAATGTTAGATTAAGAATGTATTCATGAGCAATTCACGTGCATTCTAAAGCACTTCAAAAGACGTAGTCCAGTTTTGAATTTGAAGTTTATATTACATGTTAGACCAAAATACAGCACAGTGCAATGAACTATCCCACACGTACTCTCACAACGTGTATATTGGTTGGAACTGTTGGAAGTACATTCAAATAAATACAGATCTTGCATGTTGTCAAACGCATTGCATTTTTTGTAGTACGACGGTATCGTACTACAATTCCTACTTCTATTCGGTATTAAAAAGCAAAGAGGTTATTTTTATGCGTCAGCATTTGACATTATGTAAGTTTTATGCTTAAGTGATGGTTAATATCCCGCCAAAAAGCTTTTGCATATTTCGCATCAGACAAAAAAATACATAAGTCAATGATCCCGTATACATGTATGACCAAATTACTCAAAAACACTTCATACATTTCATTTAATTCAGTGGACATTTGATTAATTGTTCAACTAAAATAAAATTCAAAATATCCTAATGAATTATATTTTATACGATTCAAATACTTGATTGTTCGTAAGTGTATTTGCTTTTCTGTTTCCTTGTTTATTTGCGTGTTCGTTTGCTTTTTCTTGCTTCTCTGCATGCCAGCTTGGTGGGTTTTTTTAATTACGGACCACAAGCACTCTTTCTTTTTTTTGAAGTTGAATCAAAATATATGTATATATAGATATTGTCGCAAGCGTAATATATTTCGATTGTCTGAGACTCTGAAAAAAAAATCAATTATTTTTATATAGAGTAAGTATAACATTCTATAACGTAGATTTAGCCATAGTTCAGCCTATGACCTGCTCGTCGTTGTCTGGCTCAATGTGCATTCTTTGCTCGTGCCAAACACTACCTGACATGGATGACATATGATGCTGAAGGGATGTAATCGTAAGGCATATAAACCGCTGGGTTTGTGGTAAGTTTGATACTAACAGATTGCATGATAATAGCACTGTAAACATATTCATACGATAAAGATGTCCCGTCAAAGGACAATAACAACGAGAAAAAACAATGTCAAAATCGAAATCAAAAACAAAAGTTAACCAAAATTTAAGATCAGGAATACAAAACATAATATGATCATATAATTTCATCTTCTGATTCTAATATGTCCACCACTTTAGAGGAAAATTATTGATCGTTCTCACCATCATTTTCAGAGATCCATCTGACCTCTTCATCGGTGCCAAAACACAGAGGGAAACATACCAATGAATGTGTACTAGAAAGTTCACAGCTCGCATACTATATATTACGTTTCGTTGACACGCGTGTGTTAATTTTGTAACTGTTTTCTCCGCTGTGTAAAAGTAATTTGTCCATGTGTATGAGTAGTATTAAATACAATATTGAGCAATTATAACAACACCATAACAATCATAACCGGATTAAATGATTGACATTTGGGATGTCGATTGACATATACACCCACAATCAACTTTCCTCTAGATATATACAATAGTGATACGTTACGTATTTCATAATCTTTCTAGCACAAATCCAAAAACGAAAACAAAATTTCCATTATGCTGAATGTATCATAATTAGGCTCCTTCATATCTCTTTTAAGCAAAACTAGGCCAAATGAGAAAGCAACACTGGACAGTATTATAATTCCATAAAAAGTACCTCTTACTTTAATATATATTTTTTTTACTTTACACACAAACAGTGTACGTATTAATGCGTACATTGTTTGTGTAGAAAGTAAAACTGTGATATCACATATTTCCAAAACTGATGAATCTTATCGAAGGTAGTGAATGCAATGGTACGCCATTGGTAATATTTGCACAAAATATTTGAATGATTATTACGTATTAATATTAGAACAAGTTTATTCAAAATATGGAATATCAAGTATTCAAATATCTGTTTTGTATTGTCCTACTTGTACCCTTAGTTACCAGCATACATGTTGTTGTTTTTAAATAAGAAAACATCCTAAGTATGTCTTACCTTCAATCTCATACCGATAAGCACACACACACACACACACATACGTTTCGTAGAACAATTTTAACACAGTGTAGGATATACTCACCATGGCTGAACCAGAATTCAATTACTCCAAACAATAAATAGCAGGAACGAGAAGAAAATGCAATGATACAAAACTAAAATGTTATTAATGCCTACAAAAACCGGAAGTGATATTAAATGTTCTGTATCTGCACCACATGTGGCAATATTAAAGAAGTAACATATTACAGTTTATGTGATGTGAATTTTGTTTTTACTCGTTCATTGCCATTTGAATAAGGAATGTCTACGTGTACTCTTTAAATTAGTAGAATGAGAAATATTTGCGTTTATAATAGCAAAGTCTTCATAATTATATTCTCGTAATTAGTACACTACATGAAAAAGCAAAGAGTATGTAATACCATAGTGATTTGAATGCTTGTAAAGCAGTTCCATTTGCATATACACTGCTATCTCAATAATAATCTTGCCGGTGAGTTAATTCTGTGTAATTTCCATAAAGCGCCACCAATTTTTTTTAACATGGTATTTGACCGATGACGGCCTGTCTATTTAATTGTTGATTTTGTGATGATTACGTCATTACCGACAATGAATGACAATCTGCGGAAGGTATTTTAAAGCATTAAAACTCGCCAATCAATTGATAAAGTAGGAAAGAAATACAATCTTTCCAATATCAGCTCGGTATCTTAATCAAATCTTGATATTTATAATCGGGGTTAAGTTGAAATGTGTTACTCACTTTTGATTAGGAATTAATTTAACATGCGTTCTACGTAAACGTATCTATTCAAACATGCCATTTGATCATTAATTAATTACAAATTTTAATTAAGCAAGGACGTATTTTTTAAATATCTAAACTAAACTCAGTCATTAAGACTTTTGTGAACATTTTTCCTATAATTATATGGCGAATTGGTTAAGTTAAACCACCACATTCAATTAGCAAGGCAATTTGATAGTGGAATAAACCCAGTCTATTTAAACGTTTTTCTCATACTTGGAGCTGCAAAATTGGTCGGTTTCACCTGGTGTGCCTCTTAATTTTCCATTTGGACACCTCCGTCGGTCATTTACCCCGTGAACAGGAAGAAAAACAAACCACGAACATTCTCTAATAGGTAAAGGACACGAAATTTAATTAAGTGCAAAACAAATACGAAAATACTTGAATATGTGTGATACAACTCGTGTGAAACAGACATTTTATTAGGGGTGGGGTTTGTCTAACTGGTCGGGTCATAAGAATAAATATTTAAATAATAGAAACTCTGAACCATCTATTTTGTTACATGATACACGTATATAAAACTGTTTCATTTCGACCACCCACAATTCGAAATGTATTTAAATTCTTCTCGGTGTGTAATAATCTTTTGTGATACAACTACATTCTCGTCATTAATATCCTTTAAATATATTATTCTGCACCTTCCATTGAACAATATGCACCATTCATTAAAATCAAAGATTTGTTTTTACAGTATTTGAAGTTTAAATGGCTACCTTTTTATCTTTTCTACGATCCATGATAAACACATTGATGCCTCATCGTCTCATTTTGTGATATATTTTAACTTGTCTCCTAAGATGTCCAAGCACTTTGTTCTCAAATCAAATATAATTTTGTATTATTTCATAAAATTCTTGATAGTTCGTATATCTAAGGAAGAAAATTAGACAATTGATATTTAGTTGGCGTGCAATTCGCAATAGTGATTTTTATCTCAATAATATGCAACAGGTATTACTTGGAAAGCGACCTTGATAATTGTTGTATCTTTTTTCCGTTGTGTGTTGCACAGTAGATGTACAAGATTACAACGAACAATTAGAGAGAACACACACGGCGATATCGTCTGCTTACGTATTAATTACAACGTGTGCAGCTGAAATAAGATTTGTAACGAGGTGACGAACAACGAAAAAGACAATTGAATAACTCGCCACAAAGGGTTTAGTTTGGTTAATGATGCGACAGTTACATAAAGGCTGGTGACGTATGACTAACAGAACAACATTGAAAAGGAAATGGTTACTTGTTGTCAGATTAACAAGTATCAGGCTTGTTCGTTCTTTCCAATGGAATGTGTTTGACAATATTCACAAAGGTCTTACTTGTAAATAACAATAAGTTAAAGATTTCGAATACTGTTTTGTACTAATCAAGCATTATGATAGCGATG